CAAATTTGACGCCTATGAAATTTATGAAACCCATGAACCCCATGAACCCCGTTAAAACCCATTAAGCCCATTTATTTCCCAAATTAATGTTTAATTTCGCTATTCAGCGCGACTAACACCCGAACCTTATTGGCTTTGCTGTCCTGACACCGCCAGCGCTTCTGCCGCAACATCCACTTCTCCCGTCTCACCCTTCCCTCCTTCATCTCTTCCCCCCCCCCCCCCTCCCCCTACTATTATTGTCTTGCACGCATTCGAGAACCTGAGAATCTGCACATCATGAGTGTGAGTGAACCAATGTCAACCTCCTTGATCACCTGAATGTGCTTTCTGACGTGACTTTCCCTAGTACCAGAGCTTAGGGGATAACAACTCAGGCGGCTACGGCCAGTACAACCCGTACGGAAGTCAGCAGCAGAGCAATCCCTATGGAGGCCAGCAACAACAGCAGAGCTATGGATATGGTGGTGGTTATGACCAGGCTGGTGCCGCAGAGCAGGGAAATGGTGGCTATGGTAAGCTGACCCGATAATTGCGCAGTCTTGCGACGACTCTAATTCTTTGACAGAGATGTCCAACGTCAATCAAGCCTCATCTGGTGGCCCAACTGCGATTCTGAACAAGTGCAAGGAGATGAACGAAGGCATCAACGAGCTGACCAAGAAGCGCGAGACTCAATTGGTTGCCGCCCAAAAGGCCCTTTTGGACTCAAGCACCGGCAAGGAAGACCAGGCTTCGCGCCAAACGCTCGACTACATTGAGGATGAGATCAATACTGCGCTGCGCTACCTGCGCGATCAGTTCAAGCGCATCAAGGAAACCCCCGGATCCGGTGACTCGCGCGTGCAGGGCCAGGTCGAGAACGTCAGCCGCAACCTGCGCCGTGAGATTGAGCAGTACCAGCGCACACAGAGCGACTTCCAGAAGCGCCTGGAGGAGCAGGTGCGCCGTCGGTACGAGATTGCCAACCCCGAGGCTACCCCCGAGGAGTTGGAGCAGGGTGTGCAGAATGTCCTCATGGGACAGGAGCAGAGCTTTGTTGTATGTTTTGCTCGAGTCAAACCTTCCTTGGTGTCAGTTACTAATACCATGATGAATAGGTTCCCGGTACTCGCACTCGCCAGGCCAACGATGCCCGTCAGGCTACTCTGCAGCGTTCCGCCGCCATCCGCAAGATCGAGCAGGATTTGATCGAACTGAGCCACCTGTACAATGAGGTCGCAGAGCTGGTGCACCAACAGGAGCCTGCAGTTCAGCAGATTCAACAGGGAGCCGAGGAGACACACCGCAACGTCGAGCAGGCCAACACCAAGTTGGACAGCGCTATCCAGAGCGCCAAGAACGCTCGCCGCTGGAAGTGGTATGCACTGATTATCGTTAGTGAGTATTTACCTGTGTGCACCCCAAAATCTGGCCGACCCGCTAACCTAGTTATCCAGTCATCATTATTGCTATTGTCGTCGGTGTGGCCGTCGGTGTCACCGAGGCCAACAAGAGCAAGTAGTGATCTTTCCGTTGCATCACGTCCCCTTCCGACCTCCTCCATGTACGACCTTTCCCGGGGATCGACGCAACTCCGCATCTTCCCATTTGTTCTTTGTCCCCTCGTTATACCACTCCTTCGCATTTTCCTTCTTGTGTAAAAGCAATGTCTTTCACCCCCTCTTTTCTTTGTGTCTTTGCCTCCTAGCTGTACCTGCTTGTTCGTGTACAGCTGCTCCGCGCCTAACATGCGATGGCCCTTGATGATTGTCCCTCCGGGGCTCGTGATGTCGCGGCGCATGGATGTATATACTAGATTGTTGCTTTCCTCGGCCCCCCTGTTTGGCGCTAGAACCTATGTAATACTGTCTAATAATCGATCCCTTCACGCATGAGTCTGATGTATACCGCCCGTATTTGAGTTCCGGAATCGTAGGGGATTTGTAAAGTGTAATGTAATGCATTTCGAGTCATGGTCTGGGGGTATCCGACTCGACAAGACTCTTGCAGAATAAGGAGCACCTGAACGCCGAATCAATCGGCTATCTATGCCTTCTCCTTCTTCTCTTTCCTCTCCTGTTCCTTTCTCTCCTTCTCGCGCTGCTCCTCAGCTGGTGTCTTCGTCTTCAACTGCAGTGCATGTAGTCCGCCTTCGCGAGCCATCTCTTCCTTGAGCAATGCATAGACCATGCGGTGTCGAGCGGGTTGCATCTTCGACTCGAAGGAATCAGAGACAATTGTTACACTGCGAGAAATTAGACATTCGCTTGTGCACCGTGTATGTTTGGATGTGGAGGAACGAACTGGAAATGCGTCTCCTTCGACACCGACCCTTCCATTGCAGCGTGGTGGGCATGGAGGTGAGAATCATTCCGAATCTCGAGTTTCGAAGGTGTGAATGCGTGAGCGATCTATAAAAATAGAGAAAAAATATTAGCAATGGTAGTCAGCAACATGCAGGCGTGGCTCACCTTATCGCGCATGACATCCTCTAGCGGGGTATTGGAGGCCATCCTAGCAGAAACAGAGAAGAGACGGCGAGGGATCAGACCCGGAAGTCTGCGAGGAAGCATTTAGAAGAAAAGAAGAAAAGAAGCGATCAAATGGAGGAGGGAGGAGGAGGAGAGAAACGTCCGCAATTGAAGCCAATCGGATGTTTTCAATTTCGGAACTTCACTCTCATGACATCAACTTGTCTTTCCCTCGACACCTCAATTGCTCCTCTTTTTCTTATTATTATGGGGTGTATGCTGTGAGATGGATTCCCAATATTAAAGATCCGAAATTCAAAATGTCTGGCAGTTTACTCTCCCTGCTTTCGCGTTCCAATGCGCGCGTCTGCTTCACTCCGCGGCGAACGCCTCTCAGCGCGAGACTCTTGTCGACTCTCCCAAACACACATCTCTTCCGCGCACTCCAAAACCATGATCCTGAAAGCCTGGCAGTTGTGCATAGCGTTTCTTCCCGATCATTCACCTACGGTAGTCTAATTGCCGACATCGTCCGCGCTAAGGACGATTTGGAACAAAAGGCCGCGAAAGCGCAGGGCCAATTGGCTGGCGAGCGGGTCGCCTTCCTCGCGGAGAACAGCTATGACTACGTAGGTACTGTTGTCTTGAATCCCAAGGATATATATATAGAATACTAATAGGCATATAGTGACGTTGCTGGCGATCTTTGCTAGTGATGCCACTGCGCTCCCGCTCTCGCCGTCTTTCCCGACTGGGGAGCTGAAGTATATCCTGGATAATTCACAGGCTAAGATGCTGCTGGCAACTGAGAAGTATGCTGATAAAGGCATGGAAATCCTGCGAGAGGGATTGGAGCATGATCCTCTGTTTGCTATTCGGAATAAGATCACACAGGGCGCATCGAGCCGCGAAACAGTAACCCTACATGATCTGAAGCAGCCTTCGTCCGGCGGGATGATGTTGTATACATCCGGGACCACGAATCGACCGGTAGGTTCAGTTAGTTCCCTACACCAAAGGAACTACTCCTAACTTGAAACAGAAAGGTGTTCTTATCCCACAATCGGCATTGGCCGCGCAAGCATCTTCACTACTAGAAGCATGGAAGTACACATCGGATGACCGACTTCTTCACCTGCTCCCACTTCACCACATCCATGGCGTGGTAAATGCAATTGTGGCACCCATAGTAGCAGGCTCCTCAATCGAGTTCATGTATCCCTTCAACCCGGACAAAGTCTGGAAACGACTCGCAACACCCTTCCTCCCATCCAACACCTCAAAGCCACCCATCACATTCCTCACTGCCGTGCCAACAATCTACAACCGCCTCATGGCCACCTTCCCCAAACTAGCCCCAGAGCTCCAAAAAGCCGCGAAAGAAGGAATTTCCCCACAAAACCTCCGCCTGAACATCTCCGGCTCTGCCGCTCTTCCAACCCCAACAAAGACAGCCTGGACAAATCTAAGCAACGGCAACGTCCTCCTCGAACGCTTCGGCATGACCGAAGTCGGCATGGCGATTAGCTGCGGCCTCGACGGTGCAGACCGCGTCGACGGTAGCGTCGGCTGGCCGCTCCCAGGCGTCGAAGCCCGACTCGCCGATCTCGAGACGGGTGACGTCATCCCAATCGAAGAAAAGAATCCCAATGGTCGAGAACGCGAAGGCGAGATCCAGCTTCGCGGCGAAACAATCTTTGACCATTACTGGGGAAACGAGAAAGCCACGCGCGAGAGTTTCGTGCAGAGTGACGACGGTGGCCGGGCATGGTTCTGTACAGGCGACGTCGCGACTCGGAGGGTAGTTGATGGGGCTGGTAGTGGAGCTAGCGGTGCTTGGGCTCAGGGACCGATGTATTTCATCCAGGGACGGAAGAGTGTTGATATCATCAAGACTGGAGCTGAGAAGGTTAGCGCGTTGGAGATTGAAAGGGAGTTGCTTTCTCTGTATGTTGTTTTTCTTTCTTTTGGATTTCACTTGAAAGGTCTATACTGACGATGTTGCTCTAGTCCCCAAGTCACCGAAGCTGCGGTCGTTGGTCTCCCTTCTGAACAGTGGGGTCAGAAAATCGCTGCTGTGGTTGTCCTTGCTCCTGATGCGGCTGCTTCGGGTCGTAATGGTCATTCTTGGGGTCCGATGGATATGCGGCGCGCGCTGAAGGGTTCTCTTGCCTCTTTTAAGATTCCGCAGGAGATGAAGGTTCTGGAGGCTATTCCGAGGAATGCGATGGGGAAGGTTAATAAGAAGGCACTTGTGAAGGAGGTCTTTGGTATTTGACGATTGAACACCCCACAACTGTACAATATTGAATATCTACCTGTACCTAGAGTTGAGGTGAGTGGTGGAGATCTGTGGGCTTAATACTCTCTACTCGGGGAAAAACATGTACAACACTGTGCAGCAAAGAAGATTTGAAAAATTAAATCATTTGTTGTATTAAAAAATGAAATTGCTTGCTCCAAATTTCAAATTCGTGGCATCATGTCAAGTCCCTTGCCCGATCCTTTCCCAGAAAAATTCAAACCAAACTCTACTTCTCAATCTCCCTAGATCTGACGGTGAAGGCCCTCACTCTGAGCCCGAGCAGCGTCCGAGTCGACACGGGGATCAAGCTTGTTGGCGATGTTTGAACTATGAGGACCAGTGGAACCCGTAGTACCAGTAGCACCAGTGGTAGTTCCAGTGGGAGGAGTATTGTAGCTACTACCAGCAAGAGCACCGTGATGACCAGCAGTACCAAGGCCAGAGCCACCAATCGCCGAGCCAGCAGGAGCATCACGAGTGTGAGAACCGTGGGTAGTAGTACCAGGGCCAGTACCAACGAGGGTAGATTGCTGCCGAGGACGGTTATCACGGTCCGAGTCAACGCGAGGATCGAGCTTGTTGGCGATGTTAGAGCTGTGGGGTCCAGCATTTGTGCTGCTGCTGCCGGGCGTAGCAATGGGAGTGCTGTGAGGAGCACCAGTTTCAGAGCCGAGGGTCGAGCCGTGAGTGCCTGTAGCAGTGGTGCCGTGAGTAGAACCAAGACCGGCGCCAGTGCCAGTCACACCAGAGGTACCGTGGGTAGTGCCATGAGTTGAACCAAGACCAGCACCGGTGAGACCCTCGTGACGAGCACGGTTGTCGCGGTCAGAGTCGACGCGGGGATCAGCCTTGTTGGCGATGTTGGAACTGTGGGGGCCGACATTGGTGCTGCCAGTGGTACTGTGGGTAGTGCCAGTGCCCAGGCTAGAGCTATGGGGACCTGTAGCGGTGGTTGTGCCATGGGTAGATCCGAGACCAGCGCTAGTACCAGTCACACCAGAGGTGCCGTGGGTGGTGTCGTGAGTTGAACCAAGACCGGCACCGGTGCTAACACCAGTGAGACCCTCATGGCGAGCACGGTTATCACGGTCCGAGTCGACGCGTGGGTCGAGCTTGTTGGCGATGTTAGAGCTGTGAGAACCGGCATGGGTGCTACCAGTGGTACCATGGGTAGATCCGAGACCAGCACCGGTGCCAGTCACACCTGTGTTGTGTGTAGTGCCAGAACCTAGGGCCGAGCCGTGAGAACCCGTAGGGGTGGTGCCGTGGGTTGATCCAAGACCGGCACCGGTTCCAGCGCCAGTGAGGCCTGCTTCGTGGCGAGCGCGGTTGTCGCGATCAGAGTCGACACGGGGATCAGCCTTATTGGCGATGTTGGAGCTGTGGGGCCCGGCATTGGTGCTGCTAGTAGCGCCAGTGGCACTCACACCTGAGGTTCCGTGAGTAGCGCCGTGGGTAGTGCCGTGAGTGCCATGAGTGCCTGTAGCGGTTGTGGTGTCGTAGGATGTTCCAGGACCAGCGCCAGTCGTATCGGTGTGAGCAGCACGGTTGTCTTGAGATAGTTAGTGTCATTGAATACCCTTGAGAGATAAGTGAAGTGAATGACAAACCCTTATCACTATCGACACGGGGGTCAAGCTTGTTGGCCAAGTTGGACGAGTGAGGTCCATGGTTGGAGGACTTCGTCGACTCGTGCGACTCGCCCTTCTTTCCAGCTATGGCCTCTTCGGCCTTGCGTACAAACTGCATGTTGATATTGATAGTATTGATGAGAGGTGATAAGAGATTTGATGAAAGTTGAAGTTGTTATCAAATAAATGGTGGGATATGCTTGATGAAGATAAGAAGTGATTTCCCCAGACTAGGAGAAGAAGAGGGTATTTATATCCCGTTTGTACATAAACAGACTCGACCAACATTAGGATTCATGACGTTCGTGTTTCAATGTGATGGTGTACAGACTTTCACAAGGTATAGCAAACGCCTTCAGGTTTCACAATCTACTATTGGGTATGATGTACATGGGATAGGTTTCCTATTAGCTACATAGTCAGCCACTTAAATCAACGTATTGTCATTAAAAGGGCTAAACTGGCTATCATCCTTGATCTGCTAAACGCCATAGACCGAAATCCAAACAATTGCGTCATGATTCAGGCCCTGCCAAGAAGTATGCCAACTATATGCACCTGGCCAGTGTTGTACTGAACATATCCTAGTCAATTCTATAGCCAACCAGGATAAGCTGGAATGAGGTCACTGTGGCTAAAACTACATATCTTGTTCTTACACCGTCTCATCTCTGTTGTACGTTACCTTGTACTCCGGGCTTGTGATAGGTGTGGAAGTAGAATCAACGAAAACAGGTTGCTTTATTTGTTTACTGGTGGAGTTACAAACCAGCCAATGGTTCGAGACAGATATAGAGCCATATCCACACCGTACTTTGTTTATTCATAGAAGAATCTCCAGACAGCCAGTGTGTCCTGAGGTTGTAGTTGCGTGGCTACGTCATCGAAATTTATAGTTCTTAGTCACATGATCAGCCATCCTCCTCTCTGCTTTACTCTCTTCTTCGTCAAACAAGTGACATTGACCTTGATATTCTAAGACAATATAAAAATCCACAAATACTCCATCTGTGGTAGTTGTTCACCATGGACCATGTGGGATGAATCTCTCGAATCCCTTGGTGCCTTCATACCAGGCCCTGCAAACACCAAATCCGAAGCCCGATTTGGTGAGCCGCAATTATTTGTGAGACCAATAGGAGGCTTAGGACTTGGTTATCTAGACTGGTAGTATAAAACCACTCTATTATTGACTGATGAGCAGCGAAGTGTTGGGTTTGCCAGTACTCGAATCAGATCTACATCTACACAGGCTCCAGGCGAGATCAGTGGCACTGGCAGCTCTAGTCATTGCAGTGCAAAGCTAAGATATATGAGGCCATGCTGGGTGATATTATCTCTCAGACCACCATCACTGAGGATATTTCGATCCAGAATGTTTTCAAGGTTTGCCACCTAACGGCTGCTCAGACGTCTCCTCTAGCCAACTCATCTATAGAACCAATCCATAGGATCACTAGGCGCATATCAAAGCTTCTCGGTGTAAAGGACTTTGAAGAAGCATTATGTTCCAATGCCAAGCTCAAGGATCTTATTGAGTCACACGTTCTTCACGCTGCTGGATTGAACAAGCAGCTAGACTCGATAAAATATCATATCGACTGGGGTCCGTACCCTTTTGGGAGTCCTGTTTCACAAACTATTACATTACTTTCCAATGAGAAGTGCACTTGCAGTCATCGTGAAGGAGATCGCCTCCTTCACTTTGAAATTTCCAGGTCCAACTATGAGCAGCGATGATGACCATTACTGCTACAAAATATATCACAGGCCTCAGCTGGAAATAATCTGGATGAAATACAGAATACTTGCAAATTATTCCCCTTGATCACGCGACCACCCCCTGGTCAATCGAGAATGAGGTTGAAAAAGACTCCACCAAATCTGCTGATGTCAGCATCCGGTCCGATCCGGGACGCACCCGAGATAGAAGCTGTCCGCGAAGTTACAGGGACAATCCGAATCCGGCAATTCAGATCTGTGGGGTTGCAGTTCTAGTTTCCTAGGGATCTGTGCTATCAGGTGTGGTAGATCTGGCATTTTCCCCCTTGCTTGCGACCCCTGACCTTTTCACATTCATGTTTCGGCGCGACATCTACATTGAAATTGTGGAAAGGAGTATCCCTTGCAACCAATCATAAATATAAGCTCTTCCCAGGCACCACAGTCTTTCGATCTGAAGATTCCGGTACCCCACGGGTCGCATAAGTCGCCACCATGTGGATTCTCTCGTTCTGGATTTTCCCCGTTATATCTGGGTGCATGTGGATAGGTAAGGGTAAACACACGAGGAATTGGGCTTAATTTACTAACAGCCTTGTAGCTACACTAGTAGCCCTGCTATCCACCTGGGCGGCAGATGGAAAGCCGATATATACCACCATGAGCGATGGGCTCACCATTCCGTGAGTCTAACCAATGAACCTGCCCGCAACATAGACTGAGTCAATTGGACAACCAGTTATATTTCCCATATCGGAGCCGAGGGACTCAAACCGCTGTTCATTGCAGGCAGTGTAGTAACAGTCGTATTCATGGATCTCGGTCTCCTTTCCGAGCGATGGCTTCGCCATGCCGGCCAACTTGCCCGAAACAAAGGGAGGTTTGACAAGACCTGTGCCGTTGGGTCCATTCTTTTCTCAATTGCTGGGGCTTTAGGTCTCATTCTTCTATCCATCTTCGACACAAAACACCACAATAACCTCCACAACGGGTTTTTGGGTATGTTCATAGCGAGCTACGTGGTTTGCGCCATCCTGGTGTGTCTGGAATACATCCAAATCGGCCGATTCTACCACCCACAAGCCCGGATCTTACTAGTCAGCTTCGCGATCAAAGCTCTTTTCGTTGTCTGCGAACTCGGTGTCGCAATTGCATTTGGCGTCTGCATGAAATCTGGAAATAAGAAGAACGCAGCAGCTGTTTGTGAATGGGGTAAGATTTTAGCTCTCTGTGACTGTAGGAAAAGAAGCTAACCTGAGCAGTTGCCGCCCTTATATTCGCATTCTTTGTCTTTTCCTTTGTCATTGATCTTCTACCGTCTGTTCGTACCAAGAGACGCGTTCCTCAGGGTGAAAAGTATGCTCGGCCAGGCGTGGCGGATCATCCAGTTGACTTTTAGGTAGTACAATCTGATCCAGCATTTCATAATTAAGTCAAATATACCCGTGGATGTTAGAATAGCCTTTGCCAATAAGAAACCAGTCTTGGAATTTGGCCACATATGGTGATATCATACATTCTGAGGAAAAGGGAAGAAAACCCCGAGCTTCTCGCAAGACAACTCTGAACAATTCATTCACTAATCTCAAGAGATTTGATAAATTAAAAACTGATTATCAACATGGGCTTCTTCAAACATCCCTGTGGTGCAATCTCAACAATTGCCCATATCATCCAATGCATGAGTTCATTGGTCGTCCTCGGGATCACAGCCTGGGCAGTCCGCGGGACCAAAACCCTTACAGTGATCTTCTCCTTGGTGGTGGTACATCTCTTCAACCAGTCGTAATGTCTCAATATTGTAGAAATTCTAAAATCTTGATAGGCGGTCCTGACCCCAATCGTCTACGGCATAACGCTAAGCACTAGCTGCATTACCAGGCGTCGCAGATGGCACGTTCTTCCTCTGCTGGTGACCGACGCAGTAATTTCGTACCTGTAAGCATGACAATACGTTTATAATAGTAAATACTCATTTATCTAGCTGGCTCACTGCATTCATCTTCCTGGCTCTGAATTTCAACAACGTCAGCTGCAGTGTCCACCTCTGGAACAGAAAGACGGTATGTAGCCGGAAGTATGCGGCCGAGGCATTCAGTTTCATTGCGTTGTAAGTGCCATTTGTTTGAAAACGATGCACCCATTGGCTGATTGCATCGCAGCTTTGCTACACTCATGGCTCTGGCATTCGAGATTTTGTATACTTTCCTCCCGAAGAACGATACCCCGGTGCAGGAGAAGCCAAATGGGGTGACGCACTTGGAGCATAATCTCCAGAGTGCCGGGGTGATGAGCCCTTGAACAGAAATTGCCTGCGAATGCTTCATAGCGATGTTTTCCAAGGCGTAAGATCCTTCAATTATATAAAGATTGGAAATGCCTATTGGAGATGCATATAATACAGTATTGTACAAGTAGTCATTCAAACTCAAGCTCAAGCCCACTCGCCCTTCCTCTCAAACGGCTTCACAAATCCAGTCGCCTCCATAGTAACCTGTAGAGATGCCATATCGATAGCTGTGATATGAGCTTCGACCGTACAGAAGATATCCAGCTTATCTTTATCTGGGAAATCCTGGGGGATGGTAACCGAGCAGTTCACGCCGAGACTGGTGATGACGCCGGCATACTCTTCATCCATATGTCTAGGCTTCGTGCGCGGGGTGCGTAGCAGACATGGGAATGTGACGGGAAGATTGCACTCGGAGAAGTAGAAGGCGCGGAAGAGGAGCATACAGGCCCAGTGCTGTGCGGAGTATTTGTCGAGATTTCTGAGTCGTGTGCGTAAGGGTAGGGAATAGGTTAGGTGGGCGTCGATGTCGGATTTGGAGAAGGGGAGGAGAGAGGTGGGAGTGGTGTTTGTGTCACCGGTGGTAGTTTGAGTAGCGGTCTCTGCCGGGTCTGTCTCTACTAGATCGATCTCTGTAAGGTCGGGACTATCAACAAGAGCGTCAAACTGACGGCCGTGTTCATGCTCGAAACGCAATGCTGCCTCGATCTGGTAATGCGCAATAACATCCGTGTACCGACGCAGCGGACTGGTGCTCTTGACGTACGTATCTAAGCCCATGGTGTGGTGCTTAGTTGGGGTCGTGGAAGAGTAGGCAAGCGGCACGCTGAGCTCATAGAAACCTTCACCGCCGAAATTGGCCAAGTTTTTGTTGGTGACGCGTCCGTACTCCGGGTCGTACCAAGTGCCGTCGTAGACAACGGGGATATTGCGTGCAGCGCAGAATTGGCCGGAGATGTGCCCGGCCAAATTCATGATCAGGGAGACCAAATTATCTCGCGACTGGTCGCGAACGTCGTATGGATCGTAGGAATGCACATTGAGCCGGATGACTGGGTCACCGAGATAGTGGCGTCCGGTTGTGGATTGTAAATCATACGGCGGCATTGGGGCGTCGCCTGACTGGACTGAGACAGAAAGCTCTGGGCTAAGAGGAGTGAGGTCCATGGCGCCGTTCTTCCTGCGCGTTTGGCGGAATGCGAGCATGAGTTGACGCATGATATGGAACCTATCTTTATCCTCGGGCCGCAGGCCTGCTTGGATTGTTTTACCATGTGGTACTGGTGGTTCGGTGAACTCGCCACCTATAGTGAAGGATTCCAACTGTTCTTCAGAATCGGGGTCGAAGAAGTCGCGCAGTGTTTTGTGAGTGAGGTTGATGACATTGTGGATTGTCCCGTTTTTGATCTCACTCTCCAAGATCTCTCCTCGAAGATTCATCTTCGCACTGAATGTGAGTACTGGCCGGCCAGCCGCCAAACTGAAGTGGGGCTCAGTGAGAGTCTTGGGAAGCATAGGATAAGTGCGTTCCGGGATGTACGTGGTGAAGAGTCGTGAGGCTGCATACTGGATGATAGGGTTGTCATGTTCAATAAAGGCTGTTGGGTTGGCAACGTGGACATGCACCCAGAATGTATTACGAGATCCTGGGATGGGCTCCAGCGATATACCGTCATCGATTTCTTGCGCCGTCACATCATCGATACAGTAGACTGGCAGATCTCCCCAGTCCTTCCTCAGGTGTTGCATGGAATCTTGCAACTGATCAACAGTGAGCTTACTGCAAGATTCCTCAATCTCTTCCAACTCCATGTCCCTTGCGAGAGATATGCCATGCCCAGGCAGCATCAGATACTGGTCAAGGGGTAGAAGGTTCTCCCAAGGCGCTATGATGCCGATTTCCTGCAACAAAAGACGGGTTGAAGCCTCACTCAGTCCAAGTGTATTGTACATACCCGTGGCACGCATAATATGTGTTGCTGTTGATCTCAAAGTGCCTGACGGCATGACAATGGCAGGGACCGAGTACAGCTGCAGATATTCAATAATCATTTGGTCATCTGCAGTGAACTTTTCGGTGGGGAGTTCGCGGAACACCAGTGGGTTGCCATCCTGACCGGGCGAATACCTGTTGGAGGATGGACCGACGCTGGACATGATAGTCGGAGAACGGAGCCTTCTGCTGAGGCGAATCAACCGCTGTGCTTTGGTGATAAATCGGTGCATAGGGTGGTCTTTGGACCCCTGGGTGTCCTTGCGCATTGTGGCACGAACACAATGTTCTTGGTGTTCATGAGTCCAGTCGACGACCTGTTTGACAATGTTGGCAATCCGTTTTGGCTGCACAATATACATCCGGCTGAACAAGGAGCTGCCATCTTTTTCGATGAGGAAAGCATGTCGGCGAACAGCTTGGTGAACAGCAAACATGTTGACACTGGTCAGCTCAGATTCCTCAATGCCAAGAGCAGTTGTTGTCAATTTTTCAAGGCTCAAGCAGAGAACTTCGGTATCGTCTGCCACCTTATCGTGAAGATTATCCAGTATACGGGAATTTTCTCTATAGAATTTCAAGATATGAGTCTTGAAGTTGCTCATCATTCTCAGAAGAGGAGCACCCAGTGGCCTCGGAAGACCTCCCTCGGGGGTCAGCTGAATATCTTGGCTTGCGATAGCCTCGCCGTCCGGGAACCATGGGGTGAGAGGCTCGACAAGTTCAGTAGGCGCAAATCCTTTGATAACGTAGTCGAGCTCCGCGTTGGAGCAAATGCGCCAGTTCCCATTACCATTGTAGAACTGTTTCTGTTTGTGAATAGACCGCACGTAAATTCCGTAATTGAACACTCCGTCTGCGTTCAAGCGGGCGATTAAGTCGCCCTGTTCGAGATGTTCGCCTTCAAATTCATCTTTATCCATGGCCTCTTGGTTCCTGTTCGGGTCACCCCAAGCATCGACTGTGTCGCGGCCATTAGGCATTGTGCCAATGAATTTACCTGGTAATTCCAATGGCCGATGCTTGGAGTCGGATCGGCGCACCGGGTCCAAATCATTGGGGTTGGTATCTTGCCATTTCTGTAGATACGTTCGGATGTCTCCATGCAATTCAAATTGGGATCTGAGAAGGATATTGCCATCGATGGGAACTCTTGGGGGCTCATTTCGCTCGGATGTTTCCTGCTGAAACTGAAACAAAATTAGCTGGGAATAGCAGCCTCTTTCTTAGTATGACATACCTCGCTATCGGCGGGAACGGTTTCAGCTGACCCCAATGTTCTCGCGGTAGACAAGAAGCGTCGCCCCCCAGACAACACCGGAAGGTGAGTGGCGGACGCGGTTGACGTAGATCCCGTGCGGTTCTGTCGCCATGTGCAGAGCACAGGTGACCAGTTTGCACCAGCCAGCTTCTGCAAAGCCCTTATTCTTGTAAGTGCCATTGCCTGAGCTTGCGCAGAATGAATGCGCTGGTGGCTCGAAAACTAAGTATATTCTGCCTGCAATTGCTATACCGCCCTCGGCGGTATAAAATTGTCTCGTGATTTCGGAGTTCATTTTGACCAATCACATTGCAGCACAGAAGTATAGAATCCCGTTTATGTGGAGGAGCTCATTTCTTTTATGGACACTGGATGGATAGTCTCATATCCTCATATTTAAATGGAGTTATAGCTAAAAGTCCTTCTCCAATACGATATTCGTCACCAAAGAGTCATAAATAACACATCGATATTACTCGGTATCACGCTCTCTTTCTAGGTCATAAAATAGTAAGCGTATAAATTCACGAATAGACCACAGCATAGTCCATAATCTCCGAGAAGAACAAGCGGCACTCCTTTACCTTTTATTGCTAGTTCTAGTCTGCGATAGAAAATTCTGCAGGTTTCTGTCATAATCCACGGATTCCCGAAACAATGCTAACTAGTAGAATGTTATGGGTATACCCAGTACACCTTCAAGCCACTGGTCGTCTGCCAAATCCATTGACTGCATCCAGGTCATCTGATCTAGATCCGGAATATGGTTATTGTGACCGGTTGTGTCAGGGTTGGCACTTTGGCACGGCCTGGTCTCCACGTCTTGTAACTGAGAAGCCATGGACCATCGAGCTTCAGCCCACAGCCGACATTTGGTCAAAAGCTTGGATAAAAGTTTAAGCAAATGATCATCGCACTGAAGTTCTGGCTCATTGCTGCTTTGATCGAGCTTCTGAGCCATGCAGTCCATCGTCGATGTTAAGTCAACTGTGTTCCGCAGCGCTTCGCAATCCCATTCTGGGTCTTTGAGTGTTGATAGATATTTCAAAATTGTAATACTCAGAATCATCTGTGACCAAAGGTGAAAGGGCTGGCCAACAAGTTTCGAGCAGGGAATTCTGTAGAACTCGTCTAGCCACGACTTGATATTCTCAACCGACTGCCACAAGCACTCGAGCCGCTGGAAGTCCAATAACGTCCCACCGTCCCCAATCTGTCCAGTTTGACCTAGAGCAAGCGAGTCTCGACTTATGGAATAACCCAGCTGATTGATATATAATCCGACGTATTGAGAGTGTGCATTGAGGATGTCTGCATGGTAAACCTGGGTTGCGCCCAGGTAAAGGTATTAGCAACTCCAGCGGATATAATCTACCAAGTTATTCGCCCGAGAAACCGCTTACCTATATGTTGGAGATCCGGGGGAAATGAAGATCTCAGCTCATGCAGCTGCGTTCGTAAAATCTTAAGATACAAGAAGCGCGGAGCTGAGGCTGCCGTAGGAGTTGTCCCTGTGCGAGCGCAATCTGCCTCGTCCTGTTGTCGAACATAATCCGCTCTTTGCTTTAACAGCTGCAAGCGTACTTGAAAGATAAATAACTCATCTGCGGGGCATGACTTGCTTAGTGTGATGGCTCGAAGCGCCTCTTCCATCTGAGGTGTCCATCGTATAGCATCTTGACGGCCAAGGTGTGACGAAACACTGGAGATAGTCATAGCATGTTAGTGTGCGTTGACCCTAAGAGAATCATGTTGGCTACACGCACTTAGAGCTCAAAACGAAACAAGCTAGCAATGCCCTCTGCTTTTCCAAAAGTTCGTCGGGCATTTGATCGTTAGGGCTCTGAGTAATGCCGTTATCCCGCCCCTGGGTAATAGACATCATGGCTTGCACGTCTGGTGAGGATGGCTTGAACAAACGCAGGTCATATACTATTGAAATGGCGAGCATCATGAGGCGAGATACGAGGCCTGCTTTGCCAAGAAAAGCGTCGGTGCTCCATGCTAGGTAAGTTAGCAATCCAAGCAGCAAGTCGACATTTGACTGGACTTCGAGTAGAGCAGAGGTGAATAGGACACGCTTTAGCTCATCAACCTGAGTCAGTCTTTCCTGCGTCGAGAATATAGTAACGGTATAGATAGCTTGAAACAAGAAAGGCCTGTTATGGCGCAGATACGAGCTTGTCATGTCTGGGGTAAGATTGATGAAAGGGAAATATGGCAGCATTCGGGAGCGGAAGAAATCCAGACGTTCGTCTGCTTGATTTGGCGATGGCACAGAGGAAGGTAGAGAATAATGATGAGACGAAAATAACATATTTGGATTCAGTGATGCTGTGGCAATTGAGTCCGCCAGCCCAGCGCTGGTGTTTACCAGGGTGCCATTCGAATAAGACGTGGAGGATGAATTGCTGTGTCCGTCAAGGGAGTGAACTGGTTGAAGTGACTGAAGGGCGATGGCGGAAGTTCCCAAAGCCCCCTGGGAAACGAGCGACTGCATTGCAGATAATAAGATCTCCATCTTGTCTTCCAGCCGAGCGATGCGCATATCGGACTCTTCGGCCATCTGAGTATTACGCCTGCGACCTGACTCTGATGGCTGGCACCTTTTCTTGAGACGGAAACACCTGAGAAAATAATTAGCCGAGTGTCATTAAATTACTAGGGCGGTTGTCATTTTGACCTTTCACACTTGTCGCCATTTGGGGTACGCACGCATCGGCTCTTTGCCTTGTAGCAGTGCATGCAAGCTTGGCCATAGGTGCTGGATTGGCCGGCCGGTTTTGATCTCTCCATATTGACTGGATAAGCTATGCTAGAAGACAAGTAGGTGGACAGGCTTCTGAGATACTTTATTGTTCGAAAAAAGCACCGGCGGTAACACTGGCGGTAACTCCGGAGTTATATCCGTGTCAGACGGAGTTGGCCCCCGAAGTCCGCTGTGCTTTGACTTTGGATGCAGCCGTAGCAAGATTAGGCAAACATTTACCCTAAGCCTTGTATACATCCTATATATGAAGCTAGGGACGCCTTGGGTCACAATAATCAACCGTGCTGTTCTCTAGAAGATCTACCGGGCTATCGGGCAGTTGAGGAACTATGGCCTATCTACGGCAGCTCATTGAATCAAAGTCGCAAAATGTTGTAGCATCATACTTATCAGGCAGTTTCAAAGTAAAACTAGGATGATTTGACGTCAAACGACCATGATTGTGGTTGCAATGTACCACAGCCACGAATCTTCGGAATTTATAAGCGCGTTGTCTCCACAATCTTCACCCCGGTGCGATCAACACCAATATGTCTCGGAATCTGCCCACGCAGGTCTTATAAGCTATTATGACCAACCCATACATAGACCTCCGTAAAGCCTATAAATGGGCCCGACGTCCAAAGCCTATCTCGACGCTAATAAATCGGGCTCCGTAATCGCTGTATCACAATCATCTACTGATCGTATGAAGTTCAAACTTAGAAAATCAAATTATAGAAACTATATAAGTATATGTTTCAATTCAATTTCAAACGAAATCTAACCAGTGAAAGTTGAGATATCGCGGAAAAGGTAAATGTTGATATTTTGATATTGGATAGTTATATATTTATACTGTTTAGGATTTATATGAGTACTACCACTTTCTAGGTAAGCCTCTATAATTTTCAAATTACCTAAAGAATGCGGTTTCACACGTTTTTCAACGTGATATATAGATATAACTAAATTTTGAATCGATTAAAATATTAAAATATTACCTCAGGATAAGGGCTAGGAACGGGGTCTAAACATAGGGTAATTTTTTTTAAAAAAAATCACTTTTTTCGGAATGTTTGTATTGTTTGAGGCCCATTGGGCCCCCAATAGGCCCTTACCCCGGGCCACCGCCCATCGGTGGGTTGGGGCGGGTTGGGCTTTGGGCTGTGGGCTTTGTGGGCTTTGCGGAGGTCTAATTATGACCAACCCATACATACACCCCGAAGATCCGGGAGCCTTCCGAACAGGGACCGCGACAGTGTTATGTGGCAGGGTCGCTCACTGCCATGATAATCGTTGCATTCACGACTTTGCTATTCGACGGAACTGCATGTGGTAGAAGTGGTGTGTCTAGGTTGATTGGCCTATATAGGACCACAATACAATTAAATCTGAGAATATGTTGGCCAGTTAAAAAAAAAAGAAGATTACTCAAAATAGGCTGTAAATGATGAATGTAGGGAGGCGTGTTGTGGTCTCGGCCTACAAATGTAGTATATTATTCTCCGGGTAACAGTATAGGATCCAACATTCCAGTCTAATCTACTCAAAGAAATCAACGGGTTCATATCTATAATGCACGTTGTAGAAACATCGTCCACGGACTGTTAAGGTACAATAATCCCCGAGACCCGGACCACGAACTATTGCAACCCGTGAAGTCCTCCGAAGCTGCGGCACAAGGGTGTACAGAGACGTCAGTGAGTTGAATTGTGCCTTGACCCATACACCTGGTTCAGCCTATCGGACTGGTTACTCTGCGCAGGATTTCCGGTTATGGCACTATACTTCATACCCTGCTCTCTTACTCCGAAAGTACCAATGCCCGACCTCTACAACCTCGTAAAACAGACTACTTTCAGCATGAACGTGTCGATCCAAATAACCGCGATCCCCAATTGTTTCTCTAACTGAAAAGATTGACGAAGATCGTGAATTAGCAGGGGGAACGTATTCGTTCTCGTTTACCCCGTATTCTCCGTGTCGCCTCAGGCTTACCTCGGCCCCCGGTTCGGAGCGAACTGCATGATTCATGAGCCAAAAAGGATTATAATCAGTATCGATCTAACCAAAGCCCGCAAGTCCACAAAAAAACTTGATAGGTCGTGAGTATCATTTCCTAATGGGTTTAAGCGAGGCCTGGCGCAAACTTCAGGATTTCAGTATGTCAGGGGCAATCCCCGCAAGTTTTGGGTTGAAACCAGAGGAGTTCCACTTGCTGATCTTTTTTGTCTCGATTTTTGTGAACGTTAACCAATGATATATTTTATATTTTGTCCTATCTGTCGTGGCTGATTTGGTTAATGCCATTTTCCAACTAGTGATGCCCTGTTCGTCCAGGAATAGCGATTGACCTGTTCGGACAAAGTCAAACTTTCATAGGTGATCTGTCGATCACTGGACAAGGTTATTACCCTCCCACACATTTCATACTACAGACCCCGCAAGTTTCGTCGATTGACACGGAACTTGTCCGATTGGGACCGACTGCTGCATGTCTTGGCCTTGTCTGGCTTGAAAAGTAGGTACCTAAATATATGATACTTGTATGTGTCGGGATCGGCATACGATAGGCATTCGGCTCTGCCAAATTCAACCCAAGCACAGACACAACTGACTCGGACGACCTGTCCAACATAGGAATGCACAGAGCATCCGAGGTTTTGCTTTTGCCCATTTCGCTGCCATGTGCCTTTGCTCCATCTGCTGAGTGTGGGCACACTCCGAGTCCGGTGAGGAACTATCTCATATTGATATCCGATTTGTGGGCTTTTCTAGGGTCAATTAGCAGGAGCACCTACCCAATTGAGAATCGCATGATCCGATGATTCCGACCCTGGCTTGGATGGGATGGAGCCCTTGGAAAGTGCTTTGCAGAGAATTGTTCGCTTGGCTCTTATGTCTTAGGCACCGTTCCTGGAGGACCCACTATCCAAGAGGGGTGTGGTGTGGCTTAAGGAATATCCTCCGATTATAGAGTCTCTCAAGCCGAAGCTATCGAAGTGTTATATAAACTAAAACCATGGGTAGCACCGGGGAACCGATTCCAAGGGTGTATATATGTTAGAGCATACATCCTGATCTTGGATCATCCCATATTCCTTTCTTTTGTATATTTTTGTAAGATTATATCTGTTATATTGTCTACTTCCCTTTGGCAACATGCTCTCAACCAACGGATGGTGCGCCCTGGCGCTGTCTTTGGCTCTTGTCCCTCGGGCAATGGCAGATATCTGCGCAACACTCAAGGCCGGAGGTATCGATATCGAATACCGTATTTCACTGGCTTACACAACCGACCTGACCGAGTATTGGTCCACAGCATGCGGTGATCTCAAGCCAACATGCATTGCAGCTCCGTCCAGTGCAGCGGAAATGTCACAAGTTATCAAAAACCTTCACGACGTGGATACACTATTGTCTGTTCTCTCCTTGAGCCAACAGCAACGATGCCGGCTAACCTTGAACAGTGCCATCAAGAGCGGAGGACATAACCCCAACAATGGATTTGCTAGTATCCAGGACGGATTGCTGGTTTCAACTAAGAATCTGAATCAGGTTGACTATAACCCCAAGGATCATACTGCCGTTATCGGTCCTGGCCTTTCATGGGAAGAGGCTCAGAAAGGACTTGAAGGAACTGGTAGGACTATCGTTGGAGGTCGAATGGGAGGAGTTGGAGTCGGTGGATATATGCTCGGAGGTAGGTGGTTAAAAAATGAGCGCCAAGTTTATCTCTAATGATTTATAGGTGGTATGAGTTTTCTGAGCACCCAATACGGCTGGGCCGCGAACAACGTCGTAGACTACGAAGTTGTTCTAGCCAACGGCACTATTGTCCATGCAACCGAAAGCGAAAACTCAGGTGAGTGATACCATACCAGCCTTGTAGTCGTCAAAATACTAACACACGCTTAGATCTTTTCACAAGCTTGAAGGGAGGCGGCAACAACTTCGGAGTCGTTACTGCATACACCATGCAGACACATCCTCAAGACCACAAGGTCTGGGGTGGCAACTATGTTTTCACAGCCGATAAAGCCCCCGAGATTCTCACGGCATTGCGCAACTTCACCGACGAGTATCCCGACGACAAGGCGGCAATAATCGTGACATTCGAGCGCGGTCTCTTGGTTGACCTCTGTATTTTGTTTCTCTTCTACGACGGCCCCGAACCCTCCTCTGGGGTCTTCGATGGGTTCACTGCTATCAAACACACCTCAACAGCTAAGACCTATGACAGCTACTACGACCTACTCAAGAACAACGACTTGTTCATTCTTAAGTAAGACGAACAGATCCTAATCCTTAGATCGCTTGCTAACTAGCTACTAGGGGTCAACGCTACACCATCGCCACCGAGACCACGCCCCTTCCCAACAAAACTGTGGGAACGGCCCCGCTCCAGGATTACTATGATCATTTCCGCGACGTGGCTGGGTCCGTACTAGGAGTGACCGGGGTCATAGCCTCAATTGCCTTCCAGCCCGTACCGAAAACGTTCTCCCAAAAGGCCAAGGACCGCGGTGGAGTAAGCATTCCCTTCCCAATAAAAATAAGAAGGGGGGACCTTATTACTAACAAACTCGAAGGACCTCCTCGACATTCCCTCCGATCAACCATACATTATCATTGAGCTCGATTTCTCCCACGGCCTATCCATCGATGACAGCAAGATTGAGGCAGCCACCGTCGAGCTCTATCAGGGAATGGACAACCTGGTGCAGAAGAACATCGACAAGGGCCTTCTTCCCGACGTGTATCGACCATTGTTTATGAATGATGCATACTACCGCCAAGATTACTGGGGACGTATTAGCCCCGAGTCCAAGGCGCTTGCTATGAAGACGAGAAAGGCATATGATCCCCAAGGGTTCTTCCAGAAGCGGACCAGTGGAGGCTGGAGGCTGGATTGAACTTCAAGGATGGTCTAGGCATTGTTATATTTATCTCATCTATAATTGTATCTACGAAGATTTAATCAATTGTTTTCAATTATGACTCGAAAGGAATTGTGTTGGGAAGTAGATGCATCAGCGATCCGCCCATGATATATTTTGTAGGATTGACTTCCCGTTACTAAAGTACCTACCAAGCGACTCTAATCGGAAAAAAAATAAACATCCTTGCTGATAATTGAGCCTAGATCCAATACCCTGAAACTTGATCTACAATGCATTTCCTACCCTAGTCAATAATTAGAATCATTAGACAAAAGTAGGCGCCTGCTTCAGATTTGCAGACGCCCAGGGAACGAGTGGCTGAGAACGACCCGCGGCGAGTTAGGGTTTTCCTCCAAGCGCCAGGGTGGATTGTCAATCGTACCTATTTTTTATATGATAATATTTATTATAAGTTTTCTTCCAATCGTATGCCATTTTTAGCAAAGAGCTATGAGCTCCCATGCTATCTTAAGCTACCATTCATGCCGATCGCCGTACACGGCAGAGAGCTCAATGAAAGTCAGCCCATTCAATTGAATACGGCGCTTCTCCAATATGTAACACACAAAGACATAGCCCAGCTTGGAGGAGAGTCTAGATTCGATGTTAATTTAATTCGGTCTAGACTTCGGACAATTGATGTCATTGAGAGACCTCTTTTGATGTCTATATAAAGAGCCGGGCCAGTCTGGTCTTCAATCTCACAATCAGCTTCACTTTCTTTCAGACACTCCCTTTGTTCTTAGTTATTTTCTACATTCTTCTAGTATTTCTTCTAGTCTTCAAAGTCCTTCACTTGACATATATCTACGGCATCACTGCTTGAATACTATTCTCGACTCTCGATACATCGACATATACGCAACGACCCCGGCCACTCAACCCTTCATAACAATCCATTACTCCAATCTAGCCTATTCCAAAATGTCTCCCCGCTATGGTGCCCTTGGCGCAACCTTCCAAATATCCCGCCTCTTCCAGGCCTGCTCCCTAATCGCCATAATCGGCATGACGGCCAAGTTCATCAGCGTAATAATAAACAGCAACGCCACACCCCCAAACATCCTAATTGGAACAATTAGCGTGGTAAGTCCAAGTCTCCTCCTATACACAACTACATACTTCAAGCCATGATCCCCTTATCAAACTGCTCAACCCACTAACAATCCCAACCACAGACCTGCATTGCAGCAATCTACTGCATAATCACCGCAATCCTGTACACAGACGACATCCTCCCTTTCCTACCTTGCGCAGTGCTAGACACTTTGCTACTGATCGCACTAATTGTCGTCGCCGTCGTCGTCGGCAAGCCGCTCTCGTACTTGAAATGTACGACGCTGGCGGAGCTGGGCGATAAGGATGCTACAGCGTATGCGTTTGCATCGAGGCTTTCGAGTTATATTGCTAGCGTCAGTGGGAAGATTGACTATGTTTCGTGGATTGGGGCTTCGAAGGCGATTTGTATGGAGGCGAAGGCTATTTGGGGATTGAGTATTGCACTTTGGTGAGTTCTTGCTGTTCTTGGGTTTCCATCCGCTTTTGATTTGTTGGGATTTTACTAATTTTTGGATTCGATTTTTTTAGCATTCTCTTTTTCTTCTCTGTCATTTGCAATGTCTGTTTGTGGTTGCAGAAGAAGAAGGCTCTTGCTGTGAAGAGTTTGGAGTAATGGATAAGATGGTCTATGGGGTTATATGATCGGAAAAGGATATATATAGGAACCTAGGAAGGATATCAGGCGGACGGGGTTGGATCAATTGCTTTTTAGGTCTTTTTTTGCCATGATTCTTATAGCACATGCATTAATAATCCATTTCAGATGAAACCAAATCAACCCAAGATTCATAAAGTGCATCCAACATAAAAAAAAGTATTCAATTGAATAACCTCTACCCCGAACTCACAGGCGGAATAATGGCCACCTCACTCCCAGCCTGGATGACGGTCTCCGCATCCTCCTTGACATCAACATACTCCCCGTTCAGACTAACACCACAGGTAGACAGGACCTTGTGAGCAATGCCGGGGTATCGCTGCTCGAGTTCACCAAACAGAGCGGATAGTTTCAGGGGCGCAGGGAGCGATTCTGTGTTTTTGGAGGTGTATTGGGATGCTGTTGCGAAGTAGTGGATTGTGTATGTTTCCGACATGATGGGTGTAATTGAGGGAGAGAATTGGCTGAAAGGAGGGAAGAGGTTGACAGTTGAAGGTCCACAGGTGTAGCCCTGGAGGTATAAGAGGGTAGATAAGAGATAAGATTACCAATAGAATTGTCCAATGCGGGGTAAATAGACTGTTCTGTGTCAGGGTATAAGTATATAAGGATATCAGGGTTGTATACTTCGATCTATAAAGGTCTACAGTCCTATACAGTATCTAGCTGGGAATTCATTCTATGTAGTTCGCATTACTTCAAACTACCTACTTCGCAAGCTCATGAAATGCTCTCGCCATATCGGTCTTCAAGTCTTCCCAGTTCTCCAACCCAATACTAATCCTCAACAACTTCCGATCTACCGTCGCATCCGTCATAGTCCTCCACTCAATAAGCGTCTCAACACCACCCAGACTAGTAGCATGCTGGAAGAAATGCAATTTACTCGGCAACTCACGAGCAAAGCGTTCCTCCTTCATAACAATCGAGAAAACAGGCCCGAACCCATTAGGCATTTGCTTCTTCAACCAGTCACCCTCGACCTTCTGCAAACTAGCATGAAGAACCTCACCAAGAACAGCCTGCACAGCCGCCTCGTCACTGTCAGGCGCGGGGTTAGGCGCATGCAGAGCAGCATCAAGCCAGGAAATGAGATGGGTGGCATTCTCGCTTTGGCGCTGGACACGAATCTCGAGTGTGCGCAGACTGCGGACACCGAGCCAGCCCTCCATGTTACCCATGACACTTCCGATGAAGGGACGGTCGGATTTCAGTTGTGCGACCCAGTCGTCGCGGTTCGTGGCGAGGACACCGCACAGCAGATCGCTGTGGCCGCCGAAGTATTTGGTACCTGAGTGCATGATGATATCTGCGCCGAACTGGAATGGCTCTTGCAGGCCTGGTGGGGCGAAGGTGCTGTCGACGATAAGGTATGCGCCGCGAGCGTGGGCTTTGGCGGCGTAGGAGGTGATGTCGAAGGCGGTGCCTTGAGGGTTGACGGGTGTTTCAAGCAGGATTACATCTCCTTTTTCGAGTTGGTCGGGAGAGCAGTCGAGGGGGAGCTTTTGCAGGCCTGTTAGGCGGGTGAAGAGGGCGATGACGCCGTGGCAACCATGGTAACCATCGCCGACGGAGATGTGGCGGGGGTTGAGGAGGGTGAGAGCGGCGTGCAAGGCTGATAGGCCAGAGGAATAGCTTATAACTTGACCGTGGAGGAGAGAGGAGAGGATTGCTTCGAAACGGGTAGTATTAGGTGCGGACATACGCGAGTAGATATGGGAGGTTGGGTCAAAGTCGGACTACATTGGATGTGTTAGGCTATGGGACATAGAACGTTTGAGGCAAGGCGCATACAGGGGTGGTATCAGCAGCCGGTACTAGCTGGGTTGGGTCATTGGAATGACGAAATGTAGTAGAGAGATGCATAGGAGGAGCGACATCCTTAACAAGATTCAAAGCATCATCGGCATGCAGGGAGCGCGTGGAGGCACCAATGGCTTCGCTAGAATGAGACATGATAAAAAATGCTATGTTTGGTTCTTGAATTGTATGCACAGAAAGGGCCCATCAAGCAAGTTATAATACACCAGAAAATGCGGGATCCGGTCTCGGGAGGGGGAAGAGGTGGGGGGAAAGCATGTCATGAGTCAGACGTAATGAGTCAGGTCACGTGTCATCAAATCAGGAGATATAGATTTATCGACGGATGGAGCCCATGCGAGATGGTTCTCGCACTGATCCAGGAAGAGCTGCCTTGAAGCTTGCGCGTGCTAATGAACAAGGTTAGTGAGAGAGCAGCACAAGATAGACGGGTACAAACTCACAAGCCTCTGTATCGAAGGTAATGGTGAGATCGTCGTGTTCGATGGGATACTCGGGCATGTCAAGGCACACAAAGTTGGAAGCTGGATTATCATCCTTCTTAGGCAGTGCGAATTTGGCATCTACCATACGAATGCCGAACTTGCCGGACCGGCCAAAGGACTCCATGATATCAGTGCCCTTCAGAACAAAGTTCATACATGTGCCATGCTGGAAGTCCCCGAAGAAAGCAAGCATTTGAACGACCTTTTCTTGTCGAACGATCTGGACGCGTGCCAGGGCAGCTTCCCATTTCTTGTAAATGGGCACCATACTCCGTCGACGGGAGATAGTGAATGATGTAGCCATACTACTTTGGTCAGCAAGATCTCCACTAGAAGGCTAGATATGATAGACCCACCCATCGTAAAGCACCTGGAACCCAGTAACAGCTGCCTCGAAGGCATGAAGATCTACAACGGGATTAGAAAAGCCGACAAAACGTTCGAAGTAGACATACCCTGCATAGTAGGGAACTCCAGTCGGCGGACCATAGGCTTCGCCGTAAGCTTCTCAAGGAAGCCGGTTAGTTGTCCTGCCAGTTCAGGGCGAATGAGGTTATCCGCAAGCGAAAGGGTCAAATCCTGCTGCGCGGAGCGGAACAAGCTCATGCTCGTCTTGCCCTGGACATCCAACCCAATTTTCAATTCACCAGGTCCTTGACATAATTAGCGTCCCGTTTCCGTGAGAGGAGAAAGAGAAAACCCACCTAGGTTGATGCGATCTGTGACAGAGCCCCATTCAGTGGCGACAAAGGCCCTCAAATGTTCCGATAGAATAGTCGGTCCATAACCATGTTCGACGTAAGCATGCTCCTGATCAATGACGGAAACGCTTCCAGCAGGGAACTGGAGGTATTTGACCGCGGGCTGACCGGTAAATGGATCTTCGGGCTGCTCAATGCAATAAGACTGGATGGCGAATTCGGGCGACTTGATCTCCCCCTCCCGTGGAATCATGCCGAGCAGGATGGAGTGGATTTTCGTACGCTCGGCAGCCTCGTGGAAAGTCATCAACATGGATCTCGTACGGCCGTCCTCAGTCACTTTGAGAAGAAGAGCGGGAGCACCGTCCTCTCCTCGCAAGAGACCGAATACTATCGGTGACCCGTTGCCCAACATATGGCGAATGCTGCTCAAAGTCTTGACCTTCGGGCTAGTCAGGACAGTTAGTCGGAATCCCCGATGCGCATTGCGAGTACCAGTGCCTTCTGTCACGGTGACAGATCGCTCGAACAAACGAATTCGGCATCTTTCTGTGGGGTCTGAAGGGAATGCCTTCGGTGTGCCCGGATCCATATATTGGAAAACCTTGAGAGTATTCTCAAATACCACAGTCTCGCCTGCCTCCGGATGGAGACTGTTCTCCGATTTCTGGGTGTATTTAACGATATTCCAAAGGGTCTTGAAATCCTCTTCCTTGAACATAACGTCCAACTCGAATCCTCGGGGAAGCTTGACTCGCATAGAATGGGATCGGACTTGCCAATCCACATCCTCCCAAGTTGGTCCCTGCTTGCGGTCGGACTGAATCAAAATGTTGACAAGTTGACTTTGGCTAGTGATTGCCGCAAACACATACCAATCCGCTCGTTCGCGGACGATGGTCAATGCGCACGGCATGGCATATTGCTGTTGCCCATCATCATCACTGGAGCTGACGCAGACTTGCACGAACATGCTACCATAGGTGAAGTATCGACTTGTGTCAGCCAAAGGCATCATGTGGACCAAACTTGGTATCTTGCCCGCGTTATCTACCAGCATTGATCTCGTCGCCGCACCAGATAAGACTGCTGAGACATCGGGCGCGTAGAAAGGGTAACGCAGCCAGATACTAGTATCCAGCTGACTGGGAGAGCCTTCGTCCGAGACAACCGAGGCGAGGATGTTATTTCGTTTGATGGACATGGATAGCGAGCGGAGGTGATTGATGAGAGTGTGATGTATGCTCAGAAGATCAGCCAACTCCTTGTCCCCGGTGGTACTCGCAACGGCTAGTACGGCGTCAACGCTTTTGGCACCGTATCGAGAGAGTTCATTATGGTTAGGCACAATATTTTCATTAATCCATAATGCCTTTCCAAGATCGATCACAGCCTGTTTGGCGTAAGTAGGTGGCAATGTCGAACGAGAACGGGCATATGCTTCCAATCGTGTCTTTCCTCGCAAAAACCACCAGACCGCAGCCCGAATCCATTCTGCTAGCGAGGTTTCTATCAATGGCTTAACATCCTCTGCTGCGAGTTTAATAGAACCCTCATATCTTGCGTTGTACGCTTTGAATTCAGAAAATGCGGTATCGCCAACTTGGTTGGCAATACTTCGAAGAGAGAACTTGGGGGGTTGGGCGCTGCGTGGCGGTTGTTGGCCTTCGCGACTGGGAGGTGACGTCTGGTTTGATGCAGGCAGGTCCTGGGGTGGCGGTTTGGCCATTGTTGGTGAAACCTTACCGGGACTACCTGGGATGAGATTCGTGGGCATTCGTGGGTCAATAGGACTGAGATTCGTTGGTGCGCGTTGTGTTGAGGGACTTGGGGGGTTCCGAATCGAATCGACAATGGACCTCATTGACAGAGAAATTGACGGCGCATGCGGAAGCCCCGCCGTTGGGGCTGTTTCGTTGGCCGATTCAGGATTGTAAGCTTTTATCGGCAGCTCCGGACTGGCAGGGCTGGGAGGGCTGGGGGGAGGTGAGACATCATCGTCTTCAGCTCCAGGAGACAATGTCTCTTCCTCATAGCGATGATGCAATGCGCGACCTTCCTCCGCTTGCATCTTGTCGCGGACACGTTGTGCGAACGAACTCGCCTCGCTATCGCCACGAAATGACAATCGAGAGCCGCTGTCGCTCAAAGGCAACGTCATCAGGAAGTCTACATCCTGTGGATTTTGCATCAACGGGGGTTTCCAGTCCGATCTATTACGCTGAGGCGAACAAGCCGCCTGTTGGGATCGCGCATCGTCATCGCCCAGTGATGTATCAAGCCGGAGATTTGGCAGATGCGGCGAAGGGTCCGAGAGGGGGATATTGCCAGACTGGGTTCCCCTGCTGTCCGACCTTTCACGAGCCCGCGAAATCTCAATAGTTGGCGATTCCGTCTCGTCACCTCCTTCACCAATCACTTCTGGGGTTTGTGGGCTGAAACCCACCCGCAGCCCTTTGCCTTTGCGACCACCGGGCTTAACAGAGGGAGTAGTTGGAGGCACGGTAGAAGATTTGTCGGAGAAATTGTAAGGGGCATAGTTTTCATGAGGCAAGGCTGGCGCCGATGTTGGCGCTGGCACTGGCTTGGAGGGAGGGTATCCGGAGATGTCTTGTGAGGAAGGAAAGCGATGGGCAACGTTTTGCGGAGGAATGGACCTCGGGTCGATAGGCGGGGGCGCTGGGGCCGATTCTGGGGCGCGAGAGCTCAGGAAGTCTGCGATTTCTTGATGTTGGTGTGGCGCAGCTTTAGTCTTATCTTTGGAGAACAGTTTGGTTTTCCAATGGGTTTTTTTTGCGGGTTTGGCCTGCTCCGCGGGCAGAAAGGAGAACGGGTCATCGGCAGACATGACAAGAAAGATGGCGAGTAGACACAGTCCACATCGCACTCAATCACACACACACACCAAGGATACCAGTCCTCGTGAAATATCCCCTCTCTCTTTGGGTTGAAGGATCGACAGGGGTTTTAGGCCTGATAAGAATGGAGACCGAATAGCGGGGGAAGGGGAGAGTCAACGGGAGAATAAGAGGGAGAGGTGGAGGTTAAATGTGAAGATTGGAAGAGTATTGGCGTGTTGGAGTGTCTCAAAAAAGTCCCAAAGTGTCAGGATCAAGTGTCAGGTCAAGTGTCCGGTCAAGTGTCAGGAAGGAGGGGTGGCTAATCGAAGCGCCCGTGCTCCAGAGACTATAAAGGAAGATTAGCTCATTTCAGAGTCTCGAAATATCAAAATATCCCCCCAAAAAAAGACTTACATCGGACTCCGTATAGAGATTAAATTGATATTGTAGCTGGACCAGCAGCCGGAGACAGATGAGACAGATGGTAAAGAAGAAAAGAAGGTACACCAGGGGGAGGCCCTGGAGATACTCCGCAGGTACCAATTGCCGCAGTGGGGACGGGCTTCTGTGGATCTACTATGTGTACAGAGTAGTACGGAGTAGTAAGGTAAAGGTATAGTGTATGAATACTTAATGGGGTTAATAAGTATATTAATAGGTATATTAAGAGACATTTAATAAGGTAACTATTGACATATGGAACATAGCTAATCGACAACATGTGCTCCAATTCCATATCTATACATCTATGCATACCTCAAACACCCATCGAACGCCTTTTCAAGCCACCGAGGGCTATATATAATCCCAATCATCACAACGCGCTCGTCTCATACTGAAACTCCACTAGGCCCAATCGGAACGATGGACCCACCGCTGACGAGTTTTGGGAGCTTTGAAGATCAAAGATATTCCTAAATCACACCATTGTGACATACATTCATATATAATTCGATGAGTTGCCCCTACGATCTACTATTTCGTTGTCCTTCTGACTCCATAGTAATTAATGTCATTAATGTAAAAAAAAATATATATAAAAAAAAACAAATCAAAATTTTCTTACTTAAGCTAGTATCTCACCGAATCTCATCTAGGGGCTTCTTAGC